GTTCTTCATTAGACTTCCATTAGATAAGGATAATTCATGAATGTCTGTTGCTTTAGCCGATATTTCATTTTGAGGTAGAATATAACAGCAAAAAGTCTCTCCACATTTTACACCGATTTGCAAACTCTTAGCATTTCTAAATCCTGAAGTTTTAATGTCAAAAATACAACCTTTTGCCCGCCGCGAGTCGCGATCGCTCGCGTCGCCGACGTCGCATCACGTCGCGTCGCGTCGCGTCGCGTCGCGCTGATGCAGCGACAATTCGTGATGTTAATCTCGTGGGCGCGGTACGTGAAGAGGCCTCGCAGCCTCGTGATCACGAAAGTGTGTCACGACTAAATCTTCCGTTCGACTTAGCCGGACGACGACGGGCGCGCGATCGAGCGGCAACGCGATCGAAATCGTCGTGGTCTGCCCCCCGTCCTTTCGATACCTCGACGAATTCCTACGTTTCGGTGGCTACCGAACGAGAAATCGGTCAGACCTGCATACCTCCGCGCACCTACCCGTGGCGCCTCGAGAGGCGTCAATCTACTCGTTACACCAGTTCGCCGGAGATTCTTCAATTTCCGGCGGTGCGTCGACGAAGCGTTGAAGAAGCCGCGAGAACGTTTCTTCGTTCAACTCTGTAGTTCTCCAAACTCTGAAAGACGTGATTTGTCGATGATACGACAGCGTGTGTTGTTTAAATGAAAGTCTAACGACTTTACCACGACTGTACCAAGCGTCCAGGATAGCGTTAGCTTACAAGTAACACCACCCAAGTGTTACGCGCCGATTTTTTTGAAACTACGCACACTTGCACAACTTCGAAAAATGTTTTACCCCTATTTGCGCTCATGAAGCATTTTAAGGATAGAAACTACCCTCGAAATATTGACCTTTTCAATTCCATGTACAGCAATTCTATAGGCCATGTACGTTATCTCGAACAATTTTTGCGCCAGAATAGTATTTCTATGGAGTTTTCAGAATCGTTGATTACGAATTTGATGTCAAAATTATATATACTATATAGTATTCTGGTGCAAGAACTGTTCGAGATAACGTATACGGCCTATAGAATTGATGTACATAGAAATGAAAAGGTCAATATTTCGAGGGTAATTCCTTAAAATGCTTTATGAGGGCAAATAAAAAAAATAGGGGCCAAATATTTTTCGAAGTTGCACAAGTGTGCAAAGTTTCAAAAAGATCGGCGTGTAACACTTGGGGTATAGTGTCGCTTGTAAGAAGAAAGAGAAGCGCGAAGATCGTAAGCTCGGGGATTCCTCGCTCGCGTTCCGCGCAATGTGCGCGCGTAATGCATCGGCCGATATGGATAATAAATATAGCCCTCGAGCGTCGGGCGAGAGATGAGGGAGATACCAGACTCAGAGGGGCGCAAACGTGCATCGGTCGCGCGCACGTCTCGTAAGTCCGCGTATCCGTATTCCGCGTTCCGCAGTAATCCGAAGACGAGTTTCAGCCGCGCGGAGTATCCGAGAGATTAGAGCTTTAATCGCGAGAGTCTAATTGCTCTCTCCCCGAGGCTACGGTAACTGTTCCAGACTGGTACGTTGTGTGCCAAGAATACCGGATCTTCGTACACGCACACTTGGTGCGCGCCGCTCGGGAGAAAGTCCTCCTCCCGAACGTGCGATATCCACGTTACCGTTTTGCAAAAGGACCGTTTTCCAACTCGCGCCACCCGCGTCCCGGGCGACGGGCCGGCCGTTACGCGTCGGATACGACAGGTAATGACATTCACGAAGTTGGATTTGCATTGCTAGTTGACGTATCCACTTAAGCTCCATCGGTGGGAGCACCGTGACCGAAATAAACGTAAAATACTTTGATAAAGCACGGCCGCTCCGTCGCTAGACAACCAGGATATATCTCTCGCGTGCGTTCTAATACGCTGGTTCGCGAGATATCGCGATATATCTATCCGCCGTGTACGTCGATCAAAATGTCCCGGGGAATTATTTTCGCGACACGGGGCAATTACCGAGCTGATACTTTTCCCCGGACGGCGAAACTGCGGGACCGTTTACAACACACGACTGCTTTCAATTACGCATTTTAATATAGGCTCCCAAAGCGGCGCACACTCTGAAAAATATCGTAAAGATATGACGATGCTTATGAATATAAACTCAAGTAAATATGTTCATTAATTGACGTCCAATATTGGTGCCGCACGTGTTCAGCTTCCCATACGGGCTGTTCTTTTCCTTGCAGATTATTGATTTTTGGGCTTGGCCCATTTCTGTTCCCGAGGTCTGCAGTTAACAACCGCAATTCTGTTGCTCCTTTTTTCCCGGCCGACAAAAGCTTGTGCCATTTTGCCTTGATATCAGTTCAGCTGCCGTGAAGGAATGTATAGAGTGTCCCAGAAACTTTTGTTACGGGAATAGTACAAGTTAATGAAAAGTTAGAAATTAATAGAACGCGCTCCTATCGCAGCTTGACGAGAGAGTTTATTGCTCTTGAAAAATTGGAATTGGGACGCTGGTGAGTGGGGCTCGTGGCTTCTTTGAATTTAACAAGGCTCAGTTCGGAAATACAGTCCACTTTCTATCACCTGTTTGACTTTTAATTCTCGATCCGAAAGAAACTCTCTTTAATGCGTGTTGAATTTGCAATTAGGGACAAACGACGCCGAAATGTACGCCATGTGTCTTTAGTGCCCCTCGGTTGAGAGGATATCCAACGGGTCCGGGACACCCGATGTAAAAGGCAGGCAGGACGAAATTTATATTTGTTACCGTGATCTTTCCTTTCTTTGGTCAAGCTCTCGCAATGAGTCTCTACTTATGTAGGTATCTAGACAACAAAGCAAGATCCGTGTGAAAGCCGCGCGGCGCTCTCCTGAATGGTCGCTGACGTCAGAGCGCGAGGAAAAATTGCGCAATTTCACCATTCCGGCCGACGCGGAATTTGTTCGCGCAGCTTTCTTCCGGAATTGGATCTGCTCGAGGAGACGGAACAAGGGAGCGGGGGACAGAGAGAGAGAGAGAGAGACAAATATATATATAGAAAAGGATAGGAGAAGAGAGAAAGAGAGGACGAGGGTGGAATGTCAATGATTCGTTTCGCAAAACACGCGGTGCATTGTCCTGCCTCTGGCGATGCCTATAAGGCTTTCAATTAACATACATTAGTCCATTGTTTGGTCAATAACGTCGGTACGCTAATACATCAATTAGCATAATTGCTGCTGTGAGAGAAAGACAAGGAATCCACGATACTCCATTCATAATTGTTAGGATCTTCGAAAGCTTGAAATAACGATCTTATTGAAGAAGATGTAACGAGTCCCATCGCGAGATACGTGTCGAGAAAGCTATGCGCCGTCTTATTGACTTGTACGAGGCTGGCGATAACGTTAAGTTTTGCCGTAAAGATAAATATCGTAATATCGAATCATGCTAATCTCGTCGATCGGCGATGGTAAATGTTTTATGCCGGCGAGGTATTTAGATATCATCTTGTTGCTGCTAAACGACGCCTCTCCGCTTTCAGCGCCGAGTAAATTGGAGAGTTTCCTTGACCCGAATAATCAGGACTCGCGTAGCTGTGCTTAACTTACTATTATAACAGCCCGTTACACACACGTAATTCGTCCCTCGCTCGTGCGCGAGCACGTGAGCGAGTTGCGCCTACGGACGACCGAGAGAAGAAACTAGACACTTAATAATACTGCAATACATGTTGACCTTCACCTAGGTGCCTGCGCGACGATCGTTACCGGCGAGTGTTACTTTCCTTCCGGTGTCCGTCTCTCGGAAATATTTCTCGGATTCTCGGCCTGGTTCGTTGCCCCCGAGTCCTCTACCATCTTTACAGGCGCGAGATGAAACCTCCTAAACTCTGTTCTTTAATCCCACGCCGAAGGATAAGAGTCAGTTTGAAACTTTACTTTACCCCGAGTTAACTCTTACCCTAAATTTCATAGTTAGTTTGAGGAGAGAAGAGGAGGGATCCGCGCAACTTCTCTTCGAGATGTCTCAATCTTGATTTCATTTCCACAGCGATTGAAGCAAAGCAGCGAGGATCGTTAAAGGACTTGAAATGTTAAAGTGTGGATCGTCGATTCAAGTTTTTTTTTTCCATAAACAGCGATAAATCAACGATTCTCCAGTTATAATTTCCCAAAATCGAGATTTAACCATTTAGTAACCACTGAAACAAACGTCGGAAAACGTCGGACAACCTTCTTATGAATCAGGGACTTGGTGTACTCATTAATACACTGTATTTCTCCTTCCGCACAGAATGAAGTTCTTCTTCTTCCTATTAGGCTTAAAGCCTGTTTTATCCAGTTCGTCCTGGTACTTTGAGCATTTGGTTTTACTTCGTCTTCGGTAGGTTGCTAACCTTGCCCTTCCATCTGGAATGACTATACCCCTGAAGGGGTATGTGTGGCAAGATACTCTCGGTGGTTGCCACTTCCCTTCGGGAGATTCCGAAAAAAAAAATGAATGAAATTGACGCTGTAAAACTGTACGCAACGATGTTTCGATAAGTGTTACAATAATCTCGGAGAAGTGCAAGTACAAATAAAAGCGCCGCGTTCTTGAGGCCACTGCCGTGGCCCTGAACGTGGGCAGCCGAGGACTTTCGCTGGCATCCGGCCTGCGCTCGACTTCCGCCGTCGCGCCGATGCAACCGAGATAGAATGGGTCGCACCGAACTCCAGGCTCGTGATTCAGCCTCGGCCGCGTTTCAACCACGGCCGACGCGCGGTGGTGATTAAGAAAAAAGAAAGCGACGGAGTGACGCACGTAAAGGGTTTCCCACCTCGTGCTCGCGTCCCGAACGAGCCGGATTGGACAGTCTATTCTTTCGTTTCCTCTTCGTAAAAGTAACGACGGCGACGACACGTAGAATTTCGATTTTTCCACCAGGCGGACGAGCACGTCGGAGCGGCCGAGGTGGTTTTTGGTGAAAGCCCGACGACTCCGAGAGGGGAGAGTATATAGGCCGCGTGTCGTTTCAGGCGTGCTCACAACTAACGCACTCGCCAAAGTCGCCGGTGTCTTTCGAACGAGTCGAATAATCTGATGATCGAATAACACCGGGTACACAATATCCCTTTCTCCGGCGCTCCGCGTAAAAGAAAAGGAAATAGATCTATCAGTTCCTCTCGAGCGTTTCGGCCGGTCCCAACGTGGGAGAGCCGTCAGCGAAGAAGAGGAACGCGCTCGAGGACACGCGGCAGGAACAAGTCACAAGTGCCAAGTGTGTGTGCCAATAGGATTATATCGAACTGCCCGCTGCATCACGAAGAGGAAAAGAGGTTTGTGGCCATTTGATACGTGCTAGTCGATATGTGATCAGTGACGCGACTGTCTGATAAACTGTGGTGCGATATGCGTACGTTTCGTTGGACCCAACGATTGCTACGCCCTTTTCTGGCGGTGAAAGTAAGGCCGGTACACGATGGCAGATGAGACAGTGCTCATCGAACAGATGTTTCCTATCGTAATCGCTGAAAACTAGCCGCGATGCCTTTCTCGATGTTGCAATTTTTTTTCCATTTGCGAAAACGGAAGTAAAAGTCGGCATAGTGTTTATTAAATAATTAGCTTCGCGCCGGTGCCCCTTGAAGATTATATCTTCCTCGGATCTTGGAATTTGCTCTCGCGAGCTTAATTATTTAATTTCATCGAGGTGTCTTTGGCGTGGTCGCTGTTGGTGAATGCGCCTCGCCGAAAATTCCTCCCCGACATCCGCGAAACCGCAGCGAACGTCGGCTTCTCTTTGTCGCTGGAGAGAAGAGCGCCGGTAAACGCTTCCTCTTTGACTGCCTCTCTTTCTCTCCCTCTTCTCATCTTCCCCACTCGCGCGCGGTCTCGCGCGAGCACACGTCGAAAAGGCAAAAGGGTATGTGGGGTAGCGAGTCAGTGTGTCAGCGCGTTCTGGCGTCTCTCCTCGCGGAGAGGCGCGTCCTTCCTTCTCCGGCTCTATGTCAGGAATAAGGCCGCGCGTAGGTAGAGGGAGACCATCTGCTATGCGCGACGCGGCGGTTCGTAAAGAGGCGAGAGAAGACGAGACCGCGGCGTCTAAACTCCTCGTTGGGAAACGTCACGCTCGAAGACATCCGCAACGTGTTCGCGCTCGAACGAAATCGATACACACTCGATTAATCCGACAATGAGTAATGAAGCCGGCGGTTAGGCGGTTAGGTAGAAATGTTCATCGCGACGAAGCTGTCGCGACTAAATAAAATTGATTAGCCGCGGGGAAGAGGGAAAGAATCGGGCGATAATTTTCGAAGGATGGCACACGAGGCGATTGAACTTTATCCTCTGATCCCCTTAGCCGTGCAGCAGTCCGTTATGCTTTCTACCAGGTTTCCATAAGTTCCTTTTGTCGCGGCATGATTTTCCGCTTTTCTGGGCGCGATTATGCGATCGCGGCGGGGCTCGTTAGCCGTTGAAATTCAACGCATCGTAATAGTTCCTACGCTCTTAGAAAGACCACCGAGTGCAATTTCGTGCGCTCAGCAGAACGAATCTAGAAATCGCTCGTCGGCCAACGGCCAGCCGTGGGGTAAGAGACACCTCCGCGAATTTTGGCGAACTCTGTTCGAATCTGGCGACGCTTATCTCGAGCGAGAGAAAGACTTAATGCACTGCGAACATTGCGATTGTACTACAACTGTTACAAGGATGGAGTCTATGAATAAAGCTATCGCTCATAATCTATAATATAAATTGTTTTTTTATAACGTAAGAAAATCTGTGTCAGGATTATGTTCGGTTGGCAAAGTTAAATTAATATGCCCTCAATTATGAACGAAACTCTGACACAGATATTTTTTAATTATGTAAAACAACGATTCCTTTATAATTTCGTACGTGATTACATTTTTTATCGTTTTCGAAGACAAGTGATAAAATATATAATTGATCGGATCTAGTGACACCGATCTCGAGAGCGAGAGAAAGAATTGACGTAACATGAGAATTTCAATTATATTAAAATTATTATACCGATTGAGTTGATAAAGTTATCATGTATAAATTAATTTAATTGCCAATTATTATCAATGATTATGAGCATAATTCTAACGCGGATATCTTTAAGTAAAAAAAAATTCTTTTATAATTTCCTAATTTCACGTAATTATACTTTTGATCCTTTTCGAAGGCAAGTGAAATAACTGGCGTTATTCTCAAGTAAGTCAACGTGAATTGTAATTGACTTGTTTGGCAGAGATTGCCATCGCAGCAGTTAGTATGCTACTCGAGTTTAATCATAGTAATGAAGAATTAAATGGCGAGCGTGCATCGCTTTCCCGGCTTCGCCCCGGAGATTCGAAGGAATGATTCGCGAATTATGATGCGTGCAAAAAGAATCTAGCACCGCTATAAATATCTCGATCGCGCGGTTGCGGTTTATCGCGCCGAGCCTTCCCATTCGAGTCACTTTCACGGGAACGCTGAATTTGGCGCACGGCAGTCTCATGGTGTTCCATGTCGCGTCACATTCTTATAGGGTTTCACCTGGCGTGTGTATCTCGCGTATAACGGTACCGCTGTTACGTCACGAGCGCACACCTGTCACGCATGTGGCGAACAAAGGGTTGCACCACACAGCCCGGTAAAATAATAACGCGGAAGGAGGGACCGGCGGGATATCTGATTTCCGTAACGAGAAAATTTGCTCGCTGTAAGACGAGTTTTCTTCGTCGCGGAGAGATACCTACGAGACGAGCACTGCCGTTTTCGACATTTTACTTTTCGCATGTGGGCAAATTAAGCGTCTACGCGCTTAGACCGCGATTCGATCGACCGATTCTATTCTTCTATCATTGAAATTTCCTAGAACGTTCTGTCTTAATATTATGATATCGAGAAGTGATTTGAGACTACGAAATTTTGGCCCTATGTTGAACCGTTAATTCTATTATTTAGTAGGACCTAAAACAATAAAAGAGGTCGAACTGCAAGTACAAAATTTACTCCTTAAAAACTAATAGTGTCGGAAATTTCTATTATACTTTTGCCTTTTTATCATTAAAGTAGGTCCTTTTAAGTAGGAACTAAAGTAAAATTTTAGAATTAAAGATTCAAGGGACGAGTAAAAAAATATAATGTCATCAAAGTAGGTTATTGCTGATCTATGTAGGTGTAAATTATCCTTAGAAGTGTCAAAATAGTACCAAAATGTCGACTCGGGTACGTTTAGAAAGTTATTGAAAATTGGGAGAATCAATTAAAACTGAGGATACGAAAGGAACGAATCGTATAACATTTTGTCAAACGCGCGTGCAGATTAACGATGATTCTGTTATGCAAGAGTGCGGTATTATTGTCGCACACCAATTTGACTCCGCATTAAGTATGCAAACCGCAAAACGCGCGATGTTTGCGGAAGTCTTTTTCTTCACTCGGCTAGACGTGATTATGTAATCAGTTTTCTGATTAGTAAAAGGAAATCAACAGTAATTATGCGTCGCTGATAAGAAACGAGGCCGTGCTTCACCTGATCGCTTTCTCGTGCTTTTCGTGTTATTTCGCGTACATTTATATAACTTATCGCGTCTTTGTCTTTTTGCTCTTTCCGTCACTGTCCTCGTGTCCTCATATTTTGTGATGAAAACTCATTATACGTAATCAGATATAAACGACATGTACATATATACATATTTAACCGCGTAACATGGTATTACCGTTGACATGGTATTACTAGTTCAACCAAAAATGAAAAAAACAGTGTTCCCGACTTACTATGATACTGTGCTGCGCGATATACTTTGCTTATCAATTCTCTGCTTATTAACTCACGAGGAATTGCTTTCTAAAATAAAAAATCTGTTCAGATCTGGATTCCACATCGGCAAACCCCGCCGGCTCTTCGTCGCGTACTTGAAAACAGGATTCTCTTACTGGCGTGCTTACTCGTACATCTTAGATTCCACGTACAAATGTCGTCCTTTCTCTCTCTCTCTCTCTTTCTCCTCCTCTTTCTTTTGAATATCGGACATTGCGTTTGGCTATTCCTCGGACTGTCAGATTGTACGGTTTCTCGAGAGTCACGGGCGCTTATGTCTGTATGCATATGTAAATGCCGGAGTATACGTAAATACCGGATTTTATAGCGCGCGTAAGTAGGCAGTCCTCTCCTTTTCTCTGTGTGAAGATCCTCGTCACACCGGGAGATTTGGGTCTCCGGAACGAGATTCTCTGCTTGTTTGGAATAGATTCTCTCGTCTCGCCTCGACTTACGATTTTCGATAGGACACCACGCCGCCGGTGATTAATTTTCGAGGCCGCTTTCTCTTAATAGCCCGCCTTTCTATCGATATACCTTTCGGGGACATCAGCGAGTTTGTCCGAATTTTCGTTTCGTTGCTCACGTGCATTGTACGCGACGTCCATGACAATCGCGCCCGACTTTCTTCTGATATAATATTAGAAATCTAATATACATGAGACTCATACACGTGAAAAATATGAAATCTTATCCTTTTAAAACGGCTGCCTTGATTATTGACGAAAAACACTTCTTCTAAAAACTTTGGATACAAACAATTTCTTTTGACGAAAAAGTATATATTATGCATAAATATCCTCTTTTAATAAATAGATGATTTAGGATCAAGATTACAAAATTAACATTTTGATTATAGGAGAGAATACGTTCTTAAAAAATCTTTAATATTACAGTTGCTTTTAACAATCAAACCTGTGAAATATTAACATTATTTTATTATGGATGACATGAATAAATGTAATATTTGTTATTACTAGAAACAATAATTTTATCATGAGAAAGCAGTATAAACAATAATTCTAAATGAAATTTTCCTTGTCAAATTGTTGTTAAATTAATTATTTAGGGTTAAGACTTGCAAAACTACATCTGTAATCACATAAATATCCGGGCTGGTCCGGTGGACTCTGAAATGTCGCGTCTCTGATTGAACTTTTCAGTCGAGGAAATTCGGGTAGAAGAATATAATTGGTTAATCGAATTTGGCTTGAATCGTGTGCGACGTAAGGAACCCGACGGGGCAACTATTGCCCGCAAACGGACGATGTAGATTTAGCGGGGCAACGACTAAACTTGTACGAGCCCGTGATAACACGGCGGACGAGTCGTCCAGACCAAATGGTCGAAGAAGCAAAGCGACGCTTCACAGCGACTGGCCGGAGACCGTCTGTGAATTCTGTTTTTTTTTCTCCTCGAACGTTTCGTGGCGAGTCCCGTCGACACTTTTCACGGAGCTTTTAATACGGCGTATTCGGCACGGTTATTTATGGCGCCAATCGAACGCATAAGGGAGTGCGCTCTGACGGAGATAAAAGGCTAACCGGATGTTGAAAAGGGGGGAGAGAATAATCGGGGGGAAAAAATTCGATGAGTGAAGGTAGTCCGCCAAGTCTCCCTCTCAGATAAAAAAACCAAGAGAGGAAACGTCCCTCCCACCGAGCAATTTTCGAACCCCGGTTTAATTTTTCGAAAAAAAGCTGTGAAGCGTAATTTAACTTCGGAGCTTTAGTTCTTCGAAAAGAGCCTGTGTAACATAATCTAACATCAGATAACGTCATTAGATTCCGCCTGCCAAAATTCGACTTGTCATAACGTCTCGCATTCGGAGTTGCGCCAATATCAAGGGAACTTTTCGACAAAGTCAAATTATTCGAACGAATCTGCGTTCTCACTCGTCGCGTTACTATTTGTCTTTTTAATTTGACACGATATTCGATAAATCGTGATGTTGCAGAGTATAAAGTGCTTTTTCGCGGAGACCCCGAATAATCTCCGAAAATACCGAAACGGGATAAAAATGCACGAGGAGATCTGTTTACCGGAAATACTCGCGCCGCACCGTAATCTTCGCGCTCGGGAAATCAAACGTCGGGAAATAGAGGGAAAAAAAGCAAGAGAAGCGTACGCGAAAGAGAACGCGTTCACTCGCACTTTCGCGTATTATCTACCGTATCGTTATCCCTCGGCTACCATAAGCCATTTCCGGATGGACGAGTTAGCACCCATGCGGGTGAGAAATCCAGGTCAGACCCATGCTGTCGGTTAGCTTTCGAGTTTCGTTCTTATCGGTCGTGGCATTACGCAAATGTAGACGGACGCGGTGCTCTCGCGAGGATTTCGAGAAATGAAAACGAAAGCGCGGAACAATGCGAGCGAACGAGCGCGAGTCCGCGGGACGAGCGCACACGCCCGATGTGTATTGACAAGTAATCGATCATTTGTCGAACGAGCCTTCGCTCGATCATTTATCGAACGGTATCGCATCCTTCGATTTCTCTTTTTTTTAAGACGAGACGCGTACCATTGCGTAAATCGCGCGAATCGAGACGAGCCAGGTCTTGACTAGGGAAAATCCGTTTCTGAAGAAGTCGCGACAAACGCGGCGCAAGTCGCTTCCGTATTCCGCGCGAGTATTACTTGAAATCTTGTGCATTGCTCGCGCGGCCCTTTACTGCCGACGCCGGGATATATGACGGCGGTCCGGAAGACGATTCGCGAAATTGGACTTAGGAAAGATCAGCAATCGTTCGTGTGTCGTGACTCAATTCTCAAACGAGTAAGCGTCCCGGTTTCAACGGGGGACTCGTGCGATTTCCTCCGTGCGATTTTTTGAAATTGGAGCCAGAGCTCGCGAGGAGCCAGTTCGTAGTGCGGCGTACACCGCTTCTGGTTTCCATTCGGGATCTCGCGACGTGCGCCGCGATACCGTGTTATTCGAGTCACGAGTCAGGTATCCCAGACGAGCAGCTTCGTCTTCTTCTCTCCATCTCCTCCCGATTTCCCCGTCTCCCGTCGCGACAACGACAACGACGGTTTGCGCCCCGAAAAGTTCCACTGTCTAGGGGAAAAAATTGGATGAAGAAATTCTCGGATCTCCTACACTGCGATGCCGATGGCTCCCTGCGCCGGTCGTTTGCGTCACGCGAATTTGACGGTCCCCGCGAGCGGACGCTCCAAAACTTCACGCGTAATCTTCGCGGTTTTCGCGTTCCGATTATGGCTTACATATGGAAGCGAGCTGCATGCAAAACTTGTTATTGCGAGATTCGAAGTGGTGTAGCGTTGCAGCGAACATCACTTACGTCACTTTCTCGTCACGGCATTTCTAATTTTAACCTTTTCATCGAAAATCTTTTTTTCGGTTTTTAAAATGAAAACTTGAGTCGAGACGCGGATATCACGTCCCGCGCGTGTCTTTCACCTGTGCCGCGAGGTCCCTGCCGCTCTTGGGAGAGAGAAGGAGGGAGGAACGCGAGCGAAAAAAAGAGTAGGAACGATCGGGCGCAATGGTGGGAGCAATGCCGTCGACGCCGGGCCTGTTTGGGCCGTACGTCGTGCTCATGAGGGAGGGCGAGAGGGGCGACGGGGACGAGCGCGATCGAGATCTTCAGTAGGTCACTGGGACGTGGCTCGTGGCCGAGACGAGTGTGGCTCGCACCTTCAGTCGATCCCCGTCGGCCAGGAAAATCACCTCTGGGCCCGTCGAATCCTTGCGGTCGCACACGAGAGCACGACGGTAAAAAGTAAAAGAAAGCGGGAAGAAAAATAAGAAAGGACTCGGAGGGAAGCGAAAAGGCGCGCGGCAGGCCCGATGAGGACCAACTGACGCGAGTTGTTGGAGCCTTCCCGGTTGCGGTCGGTGCACTCGTGGGTTCGTTAAGGGGGAAAAGCAGGTGGTTTTCGCGGGGGGATCGTCCGAGTGATCGCGGGTTTCTTCGGCTAGAACGAGGCGCCCAGGAACCGGAAGGACACGCAACGAGGTGCATCGATTAATGTCCTTCTTCCGCAACACTGGTCCCGAGTGCGTTCCGCATTCCGAAGGGAGCTGTCGTAGTCGCGCGACGTGCATCCGCGTACGTTCGCGAGAGATATTACCCCGACGAGTCGACCCGAGTATTGTTGCACTTGCAAATCCGTTGTCGCGAATGCCAGGATTATGGGATTTTCAATTTTGGATTTCAGCAGACGGACGACGTAAACGTCTCGTGAGATCAAATTAGTTGCTCCTCCTTGCCGTCGGATATTGTGATTACCCAATACTTTGAGAGATTGTAAAGTCTATGATGTGTATGGTGTACTCTCCACGCGGTGTTGCGCGAGTGTAAACTTTGTTTTTAGGCTGAAATAAATTCACCTCTGAAGTTCCGTGTTCCGAGATGTGGGTTAAATATCTATTGCGCAACGTTTTTCGTGCAACAGTTGACAAGTACATGTGCCACTCGCGTGCGACCGGCGATAAAATGCTTTGATCGTGACGCTCTTGCGTTTTTAATCAACAACTTATTTAACCGACATTGCCCATTATGTGTCTCTTGAGTTCATCCATTTTATTTTAACAAATAACGTCGTACCACTGCGAACTCATGTTATCGACGAGTAAACACGAAAAATGTATCCTCTTTGGCTCGATAGATTACACGAGGCTCACGATAATGTAGTTATCAGTTTTTCAGGTTTTCTTTCTTTTTCTTACAGAGAGGACACGCACATAATGGAGAGGACGTGGCGGAATATACGGAAGACGGCCTTTCTCTTATCGCTGCCTTTACTATTGGCCGTGAGTGACGTTACCTTCTCAAAAATTAATCATAGAATTAAATCGCTTTCTTGTAAATTAACAACAATTGTAAATAAGTTGGGCAACATCTTTATAAACCCTACGAAAGTTTCGGCATTTCGACACTCTCTTAGCGCTTATTCTTTCTCTCAGCTTATAAAAAGAAGATAATAAAAAGCTTTTCGAATCTTTAACAGTTGTTAATCAATCATTTACTCACCTTTAATTTCTTCATTTAACCACATTTACTTAATCTCCCCTTTTCTTAATAAGCGAGTAGACACGATAGAGCCCGATATCGACGTATCGCGAATCTATCCCGCAAATAAATCGCACGAATCAATCTCGCGAGAGCACACTGTCAATTTTCTAACTCCGCGAGAGGCCGATCGCCGCATTCCCGTTTACGTGCATCGTGCGATACGCCCGTCCGTAATGCCCCACGGTAGATTTGCATGCCACGGCGATCGACATTGTAATTTCACTGCGCAATAATTCTCAGTTGAACAACGAAGATTACTACTCGCGGTTAGAGCGTATTCTCTCTCTTCTCCAAAGTGACAGACAGGTCGTTAATACGGTAACCGTTATGCCGCGCCGCGCAAAATGGGTGAAGTTATTTACGCACCTGCAGTGTGTACATTGTATCTTTATCTTTTTGTGACATTCGGTGAATTACATACGTTTAGAAATAGAATTACGCGACGCGGTGCCCGGCGTCCCATAATTATTGCCTGCAACACGTCGGCACATCGCTCTCGAAATCGATTAAATCTGTCACGCTGACGCATATACGTCACAGATAATATTAATAATGAATTTTGCCGATAGCAACAATTACGGCAGTTTCCATGGCGACGGCTAATTTTTTCCCCGTATAATCGACTCTTCTTGGAGATATTTATCGAGCTCGCAGGGCGTTCTTCTTTTTATCGAAAACTTTGCTCGGACCCGCTGCTCACCAAGCGTCCTCGAATCTCTTATCGTCTCCATGTTAAAGGACGTTATCGTCCCGCGCACAGAAATTCGCTGATTCGCGAGGGATCTCGCGAGAAATACGGAGACACTTGAGACGGTCGACACTTTGTCGACCGTTAAAAAAAAACTCATGTAACCGTTAAAAAATTCATCCGGTCCCCGGCAAAAAGTGATACTTCATTGATGTTCGGCGTATCTCTGGGACCGCTATGCGACGTGTGCACGTGCCGCTGGCCGAGAATCAACACGACGTTAAGTTAATGCTTAAGAGGAATCACCGTAGCCGCGGGCTCTGCCTGTGCCACATATATAGCCGCGACGCCGTTGCCCCTTCCGAGGCAAAAGTCTGAATGAAGCGACTTGACCGCGTCGTATAATCGGTAAATACGGATACGCTCGCGGGGACGTTCGTTAACGAATGCTGACGATCGTCTGGTGATTGTTTTTGCCTATGTGGGAATTCGATCCACCGCGTGGGAATTGAATTAACGACTTTGCAGAGAGCCCTTGTCAACGATAGGGCAATTGCTTCGTGCGATCGTACCCGTAGTGATTATACACATCGTGTTCATATTTTCACGTGGATCGCGATTTGTTAAAAGGGCAGTACAGACGAGAAAGAATAACGCGAGAAGACGGAGAAATTAGTTCTTTAGAGTGCTCTATTAATATTCTTAAGTTCTTGTTGCGTCTTGCGGTTTTCATTTTTATGGAACTTCTTCTTTACGCGTTGCTCCCGAAGAGATTGATTTTGCGGAACGTATTAACATTGTATCGCTTTGATAGTTTAATCAATACGTGCTAAATGCGACATATATTTAATGTTTAAAACGAAGCTAAAAGAAATCTCTGCACTCGTTTTATTTCGTGGCCACGGAGATCAAATCTCTCGTGCTCGTTTCGTTCACTTGTGTTATTTACCCGCATTATATGCAGCCGTTCCCGACAACGAGACACCGTAAAGAGGGACGAGATGTGTTGAGCGTAACGACGATTTAACATAATAACTGATGGGAGAAAAGACGGTGAGAAACCAAATGAGAGTCGCGTCGCGAGAAACTAGCGCGTACGGCCGTCCAATTTGTAATTGGGTTCGATATTTCGAGATTTATCGAAGAAACGAGCAAACGGAGACGCGCGGTGAGCCGCGTCGGGCGCACCGCGGGTGTGTGCGCACGCTATAATTTACGTGTTTCCTTTCGCGCAGCAGCGTGACAGCGGAATACGGCGATATAATAACGCCGAATGTGCGGCCGCCGCGCCGGACGGCGGAAGATAAAGTAGGAGGAAATGCGCGCATCCACATTTACGCCTCGTGTACCTGTTATACCCCTGCCGTGCGTGTTCCTCTGTGTGCACGCTACACACTCTAACCGCTGACTACATAGCCGAGCCGTCGAACCGAAGATAGTAGGTCACTGCGCCGGACGCAATGCCCTCTTTCAACTATACTCTCTAGACGGTACTCTCTCTTCTTCTGTTTCCCGCTATCTTCACTTCTTCTTCTTCTTCCTCTCTCTTCATCGTTCATCAGCTACCTGCCTCGTCCTCCCACCTCTCTCCTCTTCTCACGCTTTTTCTTTTACCTCCATCATCTCCCTCGTCTCTCTCGTTCCTTCTGCCACTATTTATTTCCCTCTCTTTCTTCATTCCGAATAATGCGGTGTTGTGGGTAACAAGTTTTATATCGTTCGCATCAAACGATCGGTAACATTGCTAGCTTTCTTGAATACTTGCCAAGGGTATTCGAAAAATCTCGTGTGGCTGCTTCGATTCGAATCCGTTTGCGTTACGTGTATTGCATATTCAGTTCGAACGCATCGAATTCTATGGTTTAAATCTTTTATCTACTTGTCAATTATTAACTCGTAAAGTGGATTTGAAGTACATACAAACGCGACGATCTATTCATAATTCTCCCTAATTAATTAGTCAAATTTTTTATATTGAAAAATAGACAAATCTTAATATTGATTAAAAAAATTTTTAGACCTTTATTACCGAAACGTTTATATTTTTTTCTGCCCCAAAACTAATTTTATTAATGATTAACGCATAATCGATTTCATTAGTTTCGAACGAAAGTGATTCTTTCTATCGCTGTGAGTCGGGCGACAAACCCTTTACAGTTTCGATGGGATTTTAAAAATCAATCTTCAAAGACACCGTCACTTTCACTATGAAGGACCTTCGAACAAGGCCGCGGAATTTTCTACGTCCCAGAATGAAACTAATGCATCTCTTTATCTCCATATTCTACAGTCCGCGCGACGGGTCTTTTAATAACGCTGTAAATCTGGTTTCTCAAGGTTCTTATTTTCTCTAATGCTGTGTGCAATATAAGATAGAAAGCAATTCAAAACAGATGTGCTGAATCATATTGCCAGGTGTAGAAACTAATATGAGATTGGCGTACAATTATAGCTGCGTTATTTCCAAAGAAGATGAATAGAAGCGAATGAAAATCGCATATTTATAATCCTTATTTATTTTACTAACTTTAATTATTTCATTTATTTACGACGTTTTTTATATTTTCTAAATACGAGAATGCGGGAGTGTAACACGGGAGTATGACGAAACTATATAGATGAAAGATATGTGGTTGAAAAATAATGGAATAAAAATAATAGGGATAAGTGATTGCTCCGCCTTTTAAGCAGCTAATATGCATGATTTAGCATTGAAAGTTTTCTTAGACGTTGTCAAACCGCCGTTGTCACAAGCCGTAATAAACGGGAATGAAGCATTCCCTGTATTTGCGATTCTTAACAGCGTGCAATCTTGTACGACCGCAGAGCTTCTCATTGCACTTGTTCCGGCAGCCAGCTTAGCAATCTTGCAATTTGAAATCGTTACTTGCCATGTCGTTTCAACCTAACCATCGATGACGATTCTGCAATCGCGAGATACCGCTTCGCATTGTACTTAATAATTTTCATTGCATGCGCTCAACGAGATAATACTATTAGCTTCGCGACGAAAGATTCTCCGCAGATACTGTAATATACACCATTTTCGTTTTATAGAAATATTGTAAACTATACGAGATAAAGCTTTGATCTCTTCTTCGTTTTCTCTGTTCATGAGACACATATTTTTTTATTTATCTAGCACGTTTGTGGTGTGATAAAGTTCTAGATTTGTAAATCTACATCCTAACTGTTATATATTATAACATTTCTTTGCTTTCTACTTAAGTATAGAATACGCTTTTTATGATGCTATAACTAATGATTGTAAATAACAGACGTCCGCTGGGTCTCTTAAAATCCTATCATTAACTTTACTACATTAATATTACTGTTGATTTCTCTTTTCTGTCTTATAATCGCTGAACGATCGTACTTCAAAGACTTCAATGGCGATACTTAAATTATGAAGCAATAGTTTTTAGTTGAAAACAAATTTTAATTGCACGCTAATTTGCCTATCAAAATTAATTTTTTTTAACTCCTACTTCCCTCGTATGACCATTTGATTGCTTTTTTTTCATGTCAGCAACGCAGAATTCTGCGATTTATTGTTGTTTGTATCTGGGAATTGAACAAATGTTAAAACTAAATATTTATTGAGCCTAGATAAAGGCACCAAAAGAATTGCAATAAATAGCGCAATTTTAATTGGGTCATATTGAAAAAGTAGCAGCTGAAAACAGAAAAAGCCGCGTTCGCATTGTACTGTGAATTATTCGTCAAAATTGCACTTAAAAATTTGCGTTTTAATACAATTATACGCCGGCCTTTAATTAACAATTATATCACCGTCTTCGGGCGGAAAGGAGTTATTATTTTTTATCGTCGACGTATGCAAAAATTTGAGAATATTGTATAAATAAATCTGTTCCACGATTATTTAATCACGATACTTTCTTGTCACGGCAAGGCCCGCGAGAACTTCCTATCAATCTACCGTGGCGCGTTATCCCACGGAGTTGCGTAGGATTACGTTGAATCAGCATCTACGGAGTAAAATTTTAATCATGCGAAGAGGAGTCATCGACACGCGAATGAACGTTGCGG